ATGAATTTATGTTCAGTTTCATTTAAAAGTCATTTAAAAGAAAAGCTTCCCCAAGGACTGTGGTATAGACAGTCCTCACTTGTATCCAGCTCAGCATGCTGAAATCCTGCTCTGAAGTAGCAAGATCCCATTGACTTCACCAGGGCCAGAATCTGAGCTATGCTCTCCAGGTCAAAGTTCACAGCATCAGTATTGCTAACAGGGTTGGCACTGGGAAGGCTCTGAAAAAAAAACCCAAACAAAGCTAACAAGCTGATTTCAACTCTCTTCACCCAGTCACATGCGTGTGTACACAAAATTAATGACCAAGTACAGAGGAATGAAAGCATTTGCCAGGTAATTTTCTCTTCAAGCTTCTAAGAAACTAGCAAGTGCTACAGATTAAAAGCACATTACATCTAAAAAAACTACTCCAGCCACAGTTCCACCAAATTGGACAGGTTCCCTTCTGGATGGCTCTAGGCCTGCAGAGAACCCTAAAAGGTAAGAAACACAAGATCCAGAGACTTAGGGGAAATTTAGGCCTTCTGAATATCACTCTTCATGTTTTTTTACAAGCATTAGTGTTTACGCTGAAAATTTCCAGAACTCTTTCTTTCCCAAACATTCCCACTTAAAATGAATATTTTGATTCAAGGTCATTTAAAAAGAAAACATAGTTAAATTCTTTGAAATTGTGGCTAGAAATTTAAGAATCCCTTGGGAAACTTCATCTTGCATCGGACTATAGAGCACAGGTTTTCAATTCCTCTCCTTGTCCTCAAGATGATGGTGCAATGGAATGGGAGGGCAATGGGTTCTCAGGCCCTGAGTCTGCAAACATTTTGTGTATAGTTTCATGACACAAAGTGCTCACATTACTGTGGTTTAATAAGTTACCACCCATAAGCTGAGCTGTGGCAACTGCCTGTGCACATACAATTATCTCACCCTAATTGTAAAATGTGCAACTCACTCCCTTTCAGGAGATCAGTGCAGCTGCACATTTATATCAAGTTACCCCTTGGCATGTTTGAGGCTCAAGGCCCATTTCATCATACCTTAATTGAGATGAAGCATGGTAGAAGGTATGAGCATCCAACATGCCCCTGGGGTGGGGATTCACAGCTTGCCTGGGCTTGTGGCCTCATCAGACTGGCAGACCCTCATCATGGTGGGACAGCCCTTAAGCTGAGGTGCAAGCTGCTCTCTGCAGTGTGTCACGTCTGCTGTGCAGCAGACAAAAATCAGAGCATCAGAGAGAATAACCTGAAATGTGCCTTCCTGCCTCTGATGTGGGAAGAAAGGATGGTACAAGGGAACTCACTGCCCAGAAGTGGCTGCCCTCGCTCAGTGGTGTCTATGTCACTGTCTTGTGCATCACACAGACTGCTGCCACACCTAAAAAAGCTCACATTTTTATGCACTTTGGGTTCAGATGGAGAACAAACACTGTTTGCACCTCTGTGATTTCATATGCCCGCCCCAACATCCTGCTCTCCAGAGCATCTGTGTTTCAGAGCTCTCCGTATGTGTCTTCTCTTTTCTGTTGTGCTTTCCAAATAACACCGCCCGATTTAGCACAACTGCTGTGCATATGATCCACAAAATCAGCCTGTTCGTCTGGGTTATGTATTTACATCTCCTGCTACCAGGCATTTGATGAAACAGCTTCCTCCTCCTTACCAGTCCTTTTGGGCTTGGATGACTCAAATCCTTACTCATGTGAGCAGCCCTTGCTTGAACTTGTACTCTGTTGTTTCAACTGGGTCTTCCTACAGTAGTGTCTAAAGGATCAGGATGTTTCCCATCAGCATGCCAGGTTTCAAGCACAAGATGCACTTGCTACATCAGTAAATTAGTAAATAAGAAGCCGAATAGGCAAAGAAACCCTGAGCATGTATCAACGATTCTATCTAATAAAAGTATTTTCCTATTACACTCAGCACGTGACGCACAGGTTAAGAAATGGGGCAAAGTAGTCCAGGAAAATAGAAAACGTATATAGTGACACAATAAAAATGTACCCACACACCCTTTTTATTGCATGTGTAGAACTACTTGAATTTTATTTCCAAAATCTAAATATCGATGAAATTTCAAGACTGTAAAAATAAATTAGAAAAAGAATTAAAGATTTTTTAGTAAATATTTTTCCTGAATAAATTTCAAGCTAACTGCTCTACATTTTATTTTAGCTGTTTGAAATAGTTTGAGATTTATATCTGAAAAGAAGCACGGAACATTTTTTTTTTTTTCCAGAAGGAGTTAGTTTTTGCTTTAACCAGTCCTATCATCTAGGTAACCTTTTTATATCCCTGTAATAAATTTCATCTGTCATTCACATTTGAGCAGAGCACCTGTGCTCGTGAATCCCTATTCTAGGACTGCTTTAGTCTTCCAAATTGCTGACCAGCTTCAAACAAGCACAGCTGCTTGTTTGTCAAACATTAAAGCATGTTTCCTTCACAGCCAACTCCAAATACTTGGCCCTAGATCGATGTTAGGCTAAATGTGCAATATCTTACAGACCACCACAGCTAGAAATGGAGGATTTTAAACAATTTTAAGCTGAATGTCCCATTGCTTAAAAGTGACTGTCACTTTGAGCTTATCCAGGCAATTCAGAGGTTGCTAAATTTGTGTTTAGTTATGTGCAAATTTGCATGTGCTACAAATATGTCATGCAAAGCATCCAAAGCTGCTGTAGGAAAACTTATTTTATAGTTGCACCCCACCACAGTATGTTCTGGTTTCTCTCTTAGGTTGTTGGTTTGGTTTGTTTGTTTGTTTTTTTTTTTTTTTGTGGTCATTACAAAGAGTGGCATCAAGTAAGCAGTGGAAAGAAGAGCCCTCAGAGTTAAGTTTTCCTGCCAGTCTTTCAATTCGCTCCCTTTTGCACAGGCAGAATGGTAAAGTTTTTAATTCCATCATTACAAGCTCTTTATCTGAAGGCTCCCGCTCCCCTGCGTGCATGGAACAGACAATATTCACCGAATGAGCAGCTACGCGATCTCTGGTTCAGCACACGGCTCCGTGTTTGCTGCCCGCGGCTCGGCGCCGGGGAGGCGGTGGGAGGCATCGCTGTTTGCAGAGGAGGAGTTGCGGCACGCAGGGATGCCAGCTGGGAGCTGCCACCCGTTCGGCGGCCCCCCCGAAGAGCACCCCGGCTGCCAGAGCGCTTGGTGCCTCCCCTGGGCCTCACTGAGCGCCCGGCCCTGCGGCATCCCCTGGGCTGCTCCACTCCGCGGGCAAGGCCCAGGCACCGCACGGGAACAGACAGCTCAGGACGGGTGTCCGAAGCTGCGCGGGCACCAGCCGGGACTGAGAGGAGATTACTCCGGCTTTGACCAACCTTTCCCTCCGCAGCCCAGCTCACAGTACTGTCACCCGGGCGCGTGCCACCTAAATGTCGGACGCAACCTTGCTTCCCCCAGAAGAAAACCAGCAGGGACTTGCGAGGGAGCCCAGCCAGGCCAGGCGTCTGGGCAGTGCCCTCCGGGCCGGGCTGCGGAGCTGGGCGCAGGCTGGGGCTG